TCTGCATTATTCTTTATTATGAATACTGAGCAGACATTGCGCTGCCGTCTCTGCAGATCTGTTTGACGCCTTGTCAGAGCTGATCATCCTGACCGCCAGCCGCTGTCTGCATGGGAAGGAGATCCGCGACTTGTTAGATGAGAAGGTGGCCCAGCTGTACGCCGATCTGGATGGAGGATTCACACACGCAGCCTGGCTCCTCCCTGGCTGGCTGCCGCTGCCCAGCTTCAGGTAATACAAATAAATGACGCCAAATGCACATTAACAGTCACTGACCTGTGCAGCTGCAGGCACTGTGCAGCGATTCCTCCTCAATTTTCACAGCAAAAGTACGGAAGTCATTCTTCGCTGCTCTGCTCTCCTTTTGTTTTCTCCTGCTATGTGTTTACCTTAGAGTTTGGAAGGCTGTCTAGTCACTGCTGGGTGAGAGGAGCTGAGCAACTGCTTGGCGGGGGGAGCTGAGCTGCTGGGAGGGAGAAGTAGGGGGAGCTGAGCTGCTGGGAGGGAGAAGTAGGGGGGAGCTGAGCTGCTGGGAGGGAGAAGTAGGGGGGAGCTGAGCTGCTGGGAGGGAGAAGTAGGGGGGAGCTGAGCTGCTGGGAGGGAGAAGTAGGGGGGAGCTGAGCTGTTGCAGGATTTCGGTGCTTCTGCTGTGAACTTTTGAGGATGAATAGCTGCACAGTGCCTGCAGTTAGAGGTCAGGGAGGGCTTGTTTAAAGTTTACTGCTTAGGATTATGTCAGCACATGAATGCCAATACCCTGGACATAGGTTCACTGTAACTCCCAACTTCTATGTATGTATGTGTTGGTGCAGCGCTGGGCAGCCACATATATGCATGCAGCTGAAGTCTCTATTTTGTGCTTGGCGCCCGCACTGTGATCACATTGGCACTAACAGCTTCAGGCCACTGTTTATGATTGGGAGCTGGTGGGGTCAGGCTCCTGATCACGTGTTCAGGAAGCCCATGTAATGTCTCCGGTGTTATCAACTCTTGAAGGTTCGGCTCCCGCCGGCTGCAAGGGCGTTAACGTGTTTTCCGTGCCCAGAGTCCTACTGACATCAGTGACTGCTATATGGACTACTACATCCCTCCCTCCTATAAGCTCTGCATGCTTGCCTTCAAGTCTAAAGATGGCATGTGGCTCCATGAAGACCGGTGTCAGGAAATGACGCGCACTCAGTCAATGAACATATTGGGGTCTGTAGAGGAGCTTTGAAATCCCCTGGAATGGGGAAGACGTGAATGTTCATATTTTTATTTTCACAGACGCCGGGACCGAGCGCACCTCGAGATCAAGAAGATCTTCTACAATGTGATCCAGAAACGCCGCCAGACTGAGGACAAGGAGGACGACATGCTGCAGACACTGATAGACGCCACCTACAAGTAGGTATTTCCAATCGTTTCCTCCTATTTTCTGGTGCAAAGATCGGCGTGGAATGATGGGGGGGG